TGTGATACAATGCAGTGCGAGAGACATTCTTGATGTGGGATTGCATGTTCATTTTGTTGTCAAAAATCACACCCAGACTCTTGACTTCAGAGAGTGCGGTAATATTGTGAATACCAATATTCACAACAAATCTTGGAATTCTACTCAACAATATATGTGATCCAATGATAAGAAGATCTGTCTTATCATCATTTAGCTTCAAGAAATTAATCGCCATCCAACATCTGATGTAGTCACAGCATTTTTCTAAAACTGACACTTGTTGCTGTATGTTACTGGCAGTTGGCTGTGCTGACAAATACAACTGAGTGTCATCTGCATAAAAATGACAACTGAATCCATGATGCCTAATAACATCCCCTAATGGCAACATATATACATTGAATAAAAGTGGTCTGAGTACAGAACCCTGGGGGATCCCGTACTTAAGTGTATAGGTGTCACTCATGGTTCCCACATCCAATCTACTCCAATCATCAGGCGATAAAAAGCGAATCTGAACTCTTTGTAAACGGTCTCTAAGGTAAGCAGAAAACCAGTCAAAGGTATTTTGTGAGACTCCAACATGTGTCCTTAATCAATGAAGCAAAATGTCATGATCAAGCGTATCAAACGCAGCACTTAGATTAAGAAATACCAGAATGGAGACTTTGCCCTCATCCATATTTTTCCAAATATCATTTTGAATGCTAGTGAGAGCCGTTTTTGTCCCATGGTGGCGCTTATATTCCGATTGAAAAGGTTCATGTAACATAAACCTGGTCATATGATTAGTTGTTGCGCAACCACCTTCTCAAGAACCTCAGAGACAAATGGTAAATTGGCAACTGAGCAATAATTCTTAAGCAGCTCGGCTTGATGAGCCTTGAGATTGCGAGATTTTGGAATGGGAGGGACAGTAGGCTCCTCCATTCCAGATCTTTCAAAATCAACCAGGGGATTTGTGGAAGATTTTTGCGGGATTGAGAGGGGTAGAGCCCATGCAGCCACTGTGAGTTCACATGGGACTTGGTGCCCCTGCAGACTTTGAGTGAATGTGCCCATTCTGGGGATGATTTTTGAGGATTTGGGAAGGTTCCTACATGTACATGTAGGAACCACCAGTCTTCCTATGCAGTCCTGGTGTCTTGCTGTCTTGAATAATCAGGATTTTGTCCAAGTTATTCCGTCCTGTCTGAAAGTCCGCGCAAAGAACGATCTGGATGACTTTGATTGACAGCAGTAACACAGGCAGTGAAGGGAACCCAATGTCCATATGTCTGTACATTTTAGGTACCGGTACATTGTATAACTGTACAGTGTACAGTACGTGTACATGTACCTTGTTCAGAGACTGTGTGGAAAGCTAGATATATAGGAAATGTGCAGTCACGTGGTTAGCTGTAACTACGCCGCCATTTTGGACGGCGTACATACAAACAACATTTAATATTATCACCCGTGTAAGTTTGCTACATCATGTTTTCATCCTACATTGCCTATGTTATCGCTGAAATACGTGTACAGTGTATGTCGAAAGGAGTGCTTCTTCGTTGAATGATACGTTATCAAAGTATACTGAGAGTTTAGAAGGTGATTTCAGGGATCGGTATTTGAGTAAATGTTCATTGATCAGAGTGCCCGCATGTACCGGTATTTTCAAGAAACTGCAGAGCTTCGGTTCGGCGGTCATGGCGGAGGGCCTTCCAGACGTTGCCTGTCACGATGTCTACAATTACCTGGTTCATCAACAGTCTTGCTACACAGGGAAAGAGCTTGTTGGTCACTAAGCAAATACGTGATTGGAACAGTTGATTGCAGCATGGTGTATATTTGCCTTGTGAGACCAATCACACGCTCCACGTGGATCCTTTGGGAAGCAAGAACTCGTGTGGCCTCCACATCCAATGGACTCAACTGTTGTTTGCCCTTTGTAAAGGCAGGAATTTTAAGAATGGCATAAAATAAGCCAACAGAATCACCTGGAATCAATTTGTCCAGAAATCCACAATTATTTGTGATGTATTGATCACTGGCCCTCCCTCCCCAGCCTTTCAAAATGTAAGAAACACAACCCTGAGGTAT